TCGCGCGCCGCTCTGGCCGCGCGCTCCAGGCCCGTCGGGTCGAAGTTGCTCCATTTGTCCTTGGGCGCCGGCCGGTCTCCCGCGCCCCGGTCGCCGCCTCCCTCGTTCCCGGGTGGCATGGGCGGCAAGGCCAGTGGAGGCCCAGTGCCTTCGCCCTTGGGCCCCTTGTTGACGCCAAAGAGCCACGACATGGCCGTGCGCGCCGCGCGCCACAGGACCCGAAGCGAGGCGAGTGGCGGGCTCGGGGCGCACCGCACGCGGGGCTGGCGGCAGGGGCTGCGCGCAGACGCGACACACCTCCTCTGCTCCGGCCGACGGAAGCTCGGCGGGGCCACGCCGCGTGAGGCGCAGGGATTGGCCGCAAGGCGGTGACGCCACGTGGTCCCCGAGGGGCGGGGCCCGGGTGTCGCGCTGCCCCGGTAGTGTCGGTTTCGCTTAGAGCGGCGCCCCGTCTGGCTGCTAGGGGCGCCCGCGCGGCTGGCCGAGCCTTCGGGGCGGAGGGAGGCAGCGCGTGGGGCTCCCAGCTGCCCAGACCCGACGGGTAAGGCCCAGCGGAGCGCGCCCGCCCGCCCGGACCTCCTCTGCCGGGCCCGCACCAGGAGCCCACCGCGCCGGCACGCGGGAGACCCTCGGGAGTGAGACGCAGCGGGGCCGGGAGCTGCGGAGCGCCACTCGAGGAGGGCAGGCCTGAGCATGAGCTCCCCGCGCCCCGCAGGTCCTGTCGGGCTCTCCGGATGGCAGAGGCTCCTGAACGCGCTGTCCTTGGCATTGCAAGAGCAGAATACAGGAGGGGGAGCGGCCCCCTAAAATCATCTCCAGGAGCCTTGTCTTTGGGAATCCGCCGGGCCATGAGTCTGCTTTGGGGACACCAGCCCGCTGGATCTGCAGGAGGAGCGCAGGCAGAACGACGTGACAGCAGGCGCCGCGCGGGAACCCAGGGCCCAAAACCGGTCCAAATACGTGTTTTGTTCCAGGCTTTCTTTTTTTTAAAAAAATCTTTATTTATTGTGTGTGTGTGGCCAGCTCAGCCCACCAGGGGGGTGGGGCTGGCTGGCATGTGGTGCTGGGGATTGAACCGCGGTCCCTGTGCTTTGCTTAGCCTAGCTTGTTCTAAGTAGGTGCTTTAGACCACTGAGCCATCTCACCAGCCCATTCCAGGCTTTCTTGACAGAATTGGTTGAATGCTTGGAGTTATATGACTTTTACCGGTAAAATGAAAACTTACTTTTCCATTTTATTTTATTTTTCTACTGGGGATTGGACCTGGCCTTGCGCCCGCTGGGCAAGCACTCGACCCCTGAGCCACGTGCCCTTTGAAACTTTTCAGACAAGTTCTCACACAATTGCTCCTTCTAGTCTTGGCTGTCTTCCTTCACAGCCTCAGGAGTAGCTGGGATTACGGGCACACACCCCCGCGCCGGCTATTGAAAACGATTTTTAGCCTAAATAAAAAAAGGAAAAAGTTTGAAATTGTGAGATAATTCATTTTGTGACACGGGCACACCCACAAAGAGAAAAACCAAGTGTTTCCCAGCAATAGCCAGGCGACCCCTGGTGGCCATCCTCGAAGATTTGTAGGGACACCCCACACAGCGCTCAGGAAGAGAGGACAGACCAGCCGGTTAGAGACACAGGCCTCGTCCACACACAGCTTAGCCTCGGACTCCCTCTAGCTTTATCCATTCACCAAGATGTCATTGCAAAGAATTTCGCTTAACTTGGCTTAACTTAAAAAAAAAAAAATAACCTGCTGATTGCTACTTTAAGATTTTGGTAATTGTTTTCAAGAGAAATTGAAAGAGGATAGAGGCACAGCCCCTCCCTGCCGCACAGGCTCTGATGGAGCTCCCGGAATTTCCTGTCTACTCCAAATCTTTGACCACTGGGAGGACAGGCACACCCTTCCTCAAGACACTAAGATAAGGAAAAGGAACCATGACAGGGTTTTTGCCCAGAGCCCATTCATCAGTGGACAGATGTGAGCCTCTGCTCCTGGGGCCCTGCTCTGTTGCTGGGCCCCTTCTTGAGCCCCTAAACATGCACTGGAGATCCTCCAGCCTTGAAGACCTACAGGAAAGACCACAGAGGCTACAGATGACCTGGGCCCAGATGGCACAGGGTCCAGCCAGCCAGTGGGACCCTTTTCAGTTCCTTTTCCTCCTCACCTGATGGCCCAGTCTGGCCCCCAAAACCCCCCATCTGCAGGCTGCCCCCATGCCTCCTAGTAGGTGCCCAGCTCCTGTGTGCCCTGGGCAGACTCCAGCTCCTAAAAGATGCTCTGCAGGCTGTGGTCCTCCAGGCTGGATCCCTGGGTTGTTGGTCCCCACCATATGTACCAAAGAGGGCTCCCAGCTCTTATAAGGCTCCTGTGACTGCAGCCACTTCCACTTCCCCTAACAGCAGGTGGCTCAGGAGAGTCATGGTGCCTGCTGGGCCCAAGAATGTGGTGGCCTAGAACAGGACCCAAAGCTGTGGGCCCCTCCGCCAGGGCCTCATGGCTGTGTAGCTCATCTGCTAGCTCAAAGTCATGGCCACCAACGTTCTGTAAGCTGGCCCACCAGGACCCCTCTGCTGATCCCCCAGGATGCACCCATGTTGGTGTGGCTGGCCGTGGAGCAGAAGAGGGAGGCAGTGGTAAGGAGCGAAGGGCTCATACCACAGAGAAGCCGTGGCTGTGTCCCCCCTTGGGCCATCCTGTGCCCCCACGCCTGCAGCACAGAGCTGGAGCCTCTCAGTCCCTGCTGCTGCAGGCTTTGGTGGAGCTCCACCACCTGCTGCTCGCCCATCCTGTTTCCAAACCCTAACCCCACCCTGGTTGGGTCTGGCATGGCGGGATCACTTGTGGCTTGCTTATTCACTGACACTTCTGATATGGGGACAGTTAGTGTTGGGGGAAGTAGGCGACTGCTCATGGGATCTGAGGCCCCTCACCTAGGGCCTCTTGCTCAGGTTGGAACCCCTGGATCAGGGTCTCCTCGGCACCCTACCTCACCATACTCACCTCGAGGGTGGGGTCACCGCCACTGGCCTGTTCATGTCTTAAAGAATATTGAAAATACTTTTTCATAGAACTTTTGCACTTTTCTTTTGCTCATTTCAACTGAGCTTCCGTTTTCTCACAGATGGGACACTCTGCTCCTGGAGCCCTGACCAGGCTGACCACTGTCACAGTGGGAACAGTCCTGTGCCAGGGTGGTAATGCGGCCAGAACCAGTGTCCCCAGCTGCAAGCCCAACGTAGGCAGCCCATTTCCTGGCGGTCATGTGGTCTTTCCATAAACACTTTTGTCCCAAGAGACTCAAGAGCAAGATAGCTGATATGGCCACAGACTTCCATAGTTCTCCTGCTACCTGAGTCTCCTGAGTGTGTGATCACAGCCTTGGTGACATCCTTGCAATGGAGCTCTACAAATAAGAGTTGCAAAGTGGAAACAACCACAGGGAATGGCTACTGCCTCCTGCAGCAGCTGTCCTGGGTCTCCCCGCTGTGCTGGGCTCCTCTCAGCCCTCCTCTCCTGGCCTTATCACTTTTCTTGTCTGGAACAGAGCAGCCACAGCACAGTCTTCCCCCTTTCTGGTACACACTGAGAAGCTTACACACACCAGCCTCTCACAGAACCCTGGAGCCGCAGCAGACGAGGAGCAAGGTCAGGGTAATGCTCCACAAATGGAGGAGCAGGGAGCACCCAGCTCACAGAGAGAGGGGCAGATCTGTTTCCTGGAGCTGTTCCTGAGATGAGACCCATATCCAAAGATTTAAGAAATGTCCAGGATACCAAAGGCCAGCACCCCAGGTAAGAGCATGGAGGAGGGTGCAGGCTGCTCTCACCCTTCACCTGTAGGTAGCTGTTAGCCTCAGAGTCCAGATGAGATGAAGCTGGAGCCTGGGCAGCAGTCAGGCATGGAGCAGGGTCCTGGCCACAGCTTCTCCTGCATCTGAGCCATCAACAGAAGCCACTGAGACCCTCCAGAGGTGATGCTTGGGTACTCTTGTGAGCCTCATATGGAAGGGTACCCTCTCTCCTCTTTTCTCTCTCCCCTGGGAGAATAGAATAGCTCACTGGGTGGCTGGAGAGTTCTGCCCCCTGGGGGGGGGGGGAGGTGGGGTTCACCACATCCACACCTCCTCTCTGCAACCCTGCCTAGGAGCTGGTCACCTCAGGCTCCTGGGCATTCTGGAGTCACAAGTGTCTCTGTGCCTTCCAGGCATCTACTTGCTGGCCAGCAGGAGAGGCAGTAGGGGTCCACATAGGCCTCACAGTCCTGCCTGGGACGAGCCCAAGCCCACCTCCAAGAGCATCTGCTCATACAGGCAGGAGAAGGCCCTGTCACATCATCACACATGCGTCTTGCACGCATGCAAATTTTGGGCTCCTGGCAGTACTGCCTTGGGCACAGGGCCCATGAGGCAATGCTCATCAGTCTGGGGAGACAGTGGGAAGCAAGCTGTCAGGAAAGTTCCCACAGAGTGTGCAGAGATGTCACACACACACACACACACACACACACACACACACACACGCTGGTACATATCCTGAATACAGCCAGGTACAGCCCTTTCTTTTCTTTTCTTTCTTCTTTCTTTTTTTCAGAACCTGGGATTGAACTCAGGCCCTTGCGCTTGCCAGGGAAGCGCTTCTGCTGAGCCATCTCCTGGGCCCTTTTCCAACCTTGCCCCCCAATTCACAGGATAGCAAAGTAGCCATGGTGAAAGACAAGGGTGTTCCAGCAGAGGTGCCCATGGGGCCAGGGTGCCACCAGGGACTGGTGGAGCAAAAGCAACTGTGACGACCCTGGGAAGCCAGCTGGCCACCCTCCAAGTTCCAGTCCCTGCGCCGATCTAGTCACAGGCCACAGAGGTGAGGCCTCAGCTCTGAAGGGAAGCCAGGTACTGCGCCAAGGCGTCCGCCTCCTCCTTACCCGCGGGCTCTCCTGGGACCTCTCACACCCACCCTCAGCTGCCCAGCTGTGACGAGGAGTGAAGCATTCCGAGACCACAGCTTGGCTCACATCTGATTTACTGTGCTTTGGAGTCTGAGTCGTTAGTGGGGTAAGAGACAAGCTGGACTCAGGCAGCATCCAGATGGTCCTGGAGCCACAGGCCCTGCCCAGATGATGGGAAGTGACCCTTGAGCGTAACCCCTTGGGGTCAGTGTTTTGATGGCTGCAGTGACCCTGTCCCCCAAACTGCCTGTGACCCTGTGAATGCTGGCCTTGGAGCCTGGCAACAGCAGGGTGGGAAGCTCCTGTCCCGAAGGTCCCGAATGAATGCCAGGCTCTGGTCCCATCACTGTGCACTCAGGGTCCACCAGTGGGGCCCAGCCAGGTCGTACAGGCTCTGTCCTCCAGGCAGCCAGGATCCCAGTGAAACCCCCTGCCCTTCCTTTTCTTCAGGAAGCCTTTGGAGCCCCGGCCAGTGTCAGCTTCTCCTCTCCGTTGAGCCCACCTTCTCTCCACAAGGGACTCCAGTGGCCCTAGCCACCCGCGGGCTCCCTTTCCACGGTGGGGGCCGGCTGCAGCCTCCCCTCCGGGCGGGAGTGGCCAGGCCTGTGGTACTCAACCGGCCCTCAGCGCCCTGTCCGTGTCTCCGCAACTGCGGCTGGGAGGCCCACGCGTGTGCGCGGCTCTGGGGGCTCTGGCGGGCTCAGGGCTGGAGGCGCGGGCCCCGGGGGGCGCGGGGCGCGGCCGCGCTCGCCCGCGGGCGTGCAGGCCTTGGCCGAGAGCGCCCTCTCGCGGCCAGAGCGGAAGGCGGCGGTCACGGTCACTAGGTAGGCGGCGCCAGGCGCCAGGCCCTGCAGCGTGGTGCTGTTGCGGCCCGCAGGCACCTCAATGCGCTGCGCCGCGCTGCCCCGAAGAGGCCCGAACTGCACGACGTAGCCAAGCACGGCGTCCGGGCCGAGTGCTGGGGCCCAGCTCACGCGGAGGCTGCGCGGCCGGGTGTGCGAGATGACGATGCGCTCGGGTCCGGCCTCACCTGCGGGGAGAGGGTGGTCAGCAGGGTCGGGGCTTCATGCCTGCCCCGCCCTCGCTCCGCCTCATCCCTCACCTGGTAGCGTCCGCACTCGCACACGCTGTGGCCGCAGTAGGCGCACGTTGGACTCGGGCAGCAGGGACACCTCGTAATCCTTGTCGGGCTCGAGCCCTGTCCAGGTCCAGCTTGTGGCGTCGCCAGGCAGCTGCTGGCGTCGAGCGGCTCCCAACTCACCACTGGGCACCAGCTCCAGCACGTAGTAGCCTGAGTCCGAGGTCAGCAGCGCCGGCCAGGCAAGGTGGATGCTGCTGGGGGTGACCTCAGAGGCGTGGAGCTGCTGCGGCTGCATGGCATCTGTGCAGGGTGCATAGGTCAGGGGACCAAAGTCACTTCCTTCAAGCCAGGTTGTGGCCCTGCCTGACCCAGGGAAGGCAATGAGATTGGTGGTATTCCAGGACAAGTGGGTCATCAGCCACGGAGACAGAGGAGCTGCACATGATGGACACACTGGGGTGCAGTGCAGCCCAGCCCCATCAGGACCTTCCCACCTCAGCCCAGAACCTATCCTGCTGAGGAAGGCATAGTAGCCACTCTGCACCCAGACAGTGTCCTGAATGAAAGTCCCTCAAAGTGGCAGAGCTCACAAGTGGCAGAGTCCAAATGGTTGGCACCAAGGTCTGGGATCCTCCAGGCTCTGGACATTAGACAAAGGGAGGCCAGAGGTATGATCGAGATAGAGGGAAGGCCCTGGGGTCCATGATGGTCCCTGAAGAGGCAGGGGTTCAGGGTGCTGCCTGGCCTTGTCCCTAGGAGGTAGTGCAAGCAGACCAGAGTGGGCCCCTGAGCCACATCAGGCTGGCCAGTGTCTGGGCTGGGTCACACCCATCCAGGTCTGGAACTTCCTCTTTGTTAATTCTGAGTGCCACGGGTGCCCATCCCCCCAGTCAGACTCTGACCACAGTCCCAGGACCCCCACTCATTGATCACCTCCTTCTGTTGTCTCCCAGCTCAACTGTGTCTACTGGGGTCACTGGGGTCAGATGTCCTCAGGTTGATTTTGGGAAGGACCCTCCACCTTTTCCAGTCCACAAACCAACTCCTTCCAGCTTAGGGTGGATGATTAACCTGCCAGCTGCCAGCCCTCCTCTGCAGCCTGGCCCCTTCTGAGGCACAGCTGGGGGTGGGGTTCAGAGAAAAGCTAGTAGGTGCTGCTAGGTCCTGCAGCAGTGCACTGACTATCTCTCCCTAGTAGTGCCCACAAGAGGTCTCACCATGCTGTCCTCACCTGGAAGGCCCAAGCCCTGGGGGAGGCAGTCCCTGACCTCTCTGCTGCCCCTGCCCAGGCCTGGGGTGACACAGGCAGGGTCCCCGCCTGGGTACCTCCTTGCTTATCCTCACCAGTTTGTAGCCCAAGTCCCTCAGCCCACATCTGATATTGGGCCTGGTCCAGGACGCATCTGGAGATGGCCCTGTCGCTGCACAGCCCAGGCGGCACCCAAGGGAAGGTGTCCATGGCCAGTGCACCCTCAGGGGTGCGACGTGGGAGTCCCCCTGAAGTGTGACACTGGCCTCCACCTGCAGCCCCCACCTACCGAGGATGGCGCTGCGAAGCTGCTGGGTGATGATGTGCAGGTCGTCCACATCCACGAAGTGCAGGTGCTTCTCTGCAGGGGCTGAGGCAGCAGCCGACAGCTCCAGCAGGCTGCCCCTGCCAGTGCTAACGATGAAGACCGTGACACCTAGTTCTTTGAGCTCCTGCATGCGAGGACCCACGGGGTCGCTGGAGCCCCCATCTGTCACCCACACCAGTACCTTGGACACCCCTGGCCGGGCACCTGCAGCCTTGTCAAAGAGCTGCTCCTTGGCGAATGCCAGTGCCAGGCCAGTGTTGGTGTCACCCATTCGCTGGGCTGAGGCACGGACGGCATCCTGCACAGCCTGTCCTGAGCTGTGCCGGTCAAAAGGGAACTCAGAGTATGGCAGGCTGCCCACGTGTACCAGGCTGGCACGCAGGGCCCCAGGGCCCAGGGGCAGTGGGGCCACCAGCTGCCCTACAAACTCCCGGACCCGGGAGAATTCGTAGTGTGACACACTGGCCGAGCTGTCCAGCAGGAACAACAGGTCCCCCTGAGGGGATGATGCTGGGAGTCCTGAGGAAAAGGACCAGGTTCAGCCCCAGTTTGGGGCTCCAAATAGGCTCATTCCCAGAACAGGATCCCCAGGGTGACAAGAATTCTAAGTCAAGCAGCAGACCCACATTCTCCCTGGGTTTCAGCTCTGCACGTGGTCTGTGTGACTCCCAGGCTGACTCTGTCGCGTTTGTAGAGGGGGTACTGGCCCTCCACATATGGAGCAGACGGGCAAGCAGCTGGGGCAGGAGTCCTGATCTAAGCCTCTGTAAGAAGCTGCAGCGGCAGTGGTCCCTCAGCTCAAGGAGGGCGGGGAGCAGGGGAGTGTAAGAACGGGGAGGGGGACGAAGCCCTGACTCCAGCTCCCCCAGCCCAGAGGGCCCGCTGGAGTCCTGACCCCACTAACGGATGATGTCACTCCACTCTGGAACTTGAAAGTAAGACGCACCTCTCCCAGCAGCTGAGGCGCCCCTTCCTTCCGGGAATCTTCAACCACTGAGCAGGGCACACCTAGCTTTGGGGTTCCCCAATTCCGTGGACTAATTCCGGCCCGCCCACCACCCCTCTCCTGAGGGCCCTTCCAAAGCTAGGGAAACTGAAGCTGGGCAGCCTCCCCTACCGGCACCTCCGTCTCGGCGTCCAGACCCGCTGGGCTGTGCACCGGGATGCGCCCGACCGGCTCCCGCGGCCTGTGAGCCCATCCACCCCGCGGCCCGGAGCATAGTGGCCGTCCCGCGTGGGCGGCGAAGCAGAGGGGGCGCGCGCACTCACCGTGTTCCGCGCCGCTGCGCGCCAGAACCAACCATAGGTCCAGGGCTAGGGCGAACGCCATCCCGGGCAGCATCGCGAGGTGGGACGGGGCGCTTAGCCGCAGCTCGTCGCCTGCTCGTCGCTGGGCCGCGGGCGGCGGGCTGGAGCTAGGCGGGTCCCCAAGAGCCCACGCCCATCCAAACACCACGCCCACTTCCGAGCTACGCCCCCTCCGGGCGGCGCGGGTGCGCGAACGCCCGCGCTCAGAGACACCCACCTGCAAAGGCTCCGCAGAGGCAGAGGAGCATCTACCATCGGGCTCATTCGTGGTGGCACGTGCGAGTGGGCACCCACGCAGAGCACCTGGGGTTCCTTCCCCCACCGTGAGGCCATGATGTCTCCCTCACCACCCCTTTCAATCCCAGGCCCTTGAAGCTCCCCACTGCAGAGTCCCTGAAGCCAGGTTTGAGAGCCATAAGATAGAGGGGCCGTGACACCAGGAACACACCCTCCACAGAAGCCCAAGCCTGGCTACAGGGTGGCCACAGGGCCCAGGCCAGTTAGGTGTTTCCAAGGCCTGAGCAAAACCGGATAGGAAGGGTCTTGGGGGTAGAGCTTAGGACACCCTAGGAGAGGACAGGAGCCTGAAGGGAAGCTTCTTAGAGGATTTCAGAAGACTTAGAAAGCCAGCACCCATCTAGAGCTCCTGGAGGAAAATTCTCAGGAGCAGGAGGGTTGGTTGCAGCCCTGTCAACTCTGATCCTGATGGAGCTGGACTGGCCTTCCTGGGCTTTTACATCTGGTGAGGGCCCCAGAGCCAGGCCCACGAGGCCCCAAAGGTGCCAGGAACCACTGATGAGCCAGAGGTAGGTCCTGTGACCTTGGTTAGGTCCAGCCCAGATGGGGCTGGCTGCAAAGATACGGCCCGCAGCGCCTTCTGGGCAGGAGTACCATCCACCCCTGCTGGAGCCCTTTCTGAGGTAACCACGGCGTTGTGCGCAGGGAGCACTGGGCTGGGGGTTGTCTGCAGGATGTCCCCTCCTTTCCCACCCTCTTCTAGAGGATGCCCTGCAAGAGGACGGATGAGACTCAATAGTTTTCCTTCCTCCCTTTCTGGCAGGTGAGACACCACGGGGCCTTGAGGACCGCTGAGCTCCGCTTTGCCTAAAAAAGGAAGCAGCCGGCTGCGCCTGAGAAGCTGCCTGCAGGAACAAGAGAGAACTGTGTCCCTTGCTGGGAATCTTGGCAGTGGATGCTGGCTGGGCGCCACAGACCTCAGGCCTCAGCAGGAGTAGAAGCTGCTTGGCGCTTTCGCCTGGGCCCTGTCTGAGGAGCCATGGACATGGCCCCCAGAGTTGAGGTGCACCCCAGAACCCCTCATCTGGACCCCAGCTGCCAGCAGGCAGAGCTGCCATGGGATGGGTACTATGGACCAAAGCCCTATAACACGGTAGCAGCTCTGGGCCAGCAGAGGCACGCCCAGACAGACAGGTTCCCTCCTGGTCCCTGGCTGGGAAGCTGGGCCACGTAGGACCCATCTCCTGGGGATTCGGAGTGCAGCTCTCCGACTCACTGTTGCCTCAGCCAGCCCTGCTACACGGAAGTTTCCATCTCTCCTGGAAAAACTGAGCAGGTCTTCTTGGCTGTGACTCAGGCCCTCAAGGAAGCAGCTGCCCTCCTCCCTGCAGCCTAAACATCTGAGGGAGAGGACACAGGGAGGCACAGGCAGCTCCAGCCCCCCTTGCTTCTTCACTCCCTGGGAGACCTCACTCAGCCACCAAGCCAAGTCTTGCTCCACATTACCTGCCCCCCTGCTGTTCCCAGCTGCAGAGGAGAGTCCCAGGAGCAGGGGTTAGCAGGGTCATGGCCAGGCCCTGGGCTGGGCTTGCAGCAGGGATGGGAAGCACAGGAAGAGCTGTCAGTGGGGGGAGAGGCCCAGAGACTCAGGCATGGGATGAGACAGGACAGGACAGACTCAGGAGGCCAGGCCCTCAGCCCGTGGCCTCCTCCAGGCGCAGCCTGGGCCTGGGCCTGGTGCCCAGCAGACTGAACATGGAAGACGCAGCCTGGGAGGTCGCAGCCACCCTGCCCAGCCTTGGCCCAGGTCCCAGGAGTCCCTGTTCCTCCCTCTAGGGCTAGCTGTCAGCAGGTAGGTAGAAGAGCTTCCTGAGCAGGGGACAGGGCTCTGGCAGGAGCCACCCGCCCCCACCAAGGTCCTTGGGAATGCTCCCTCCCCCACACAGCCCAGGCTTCTGGAGAAGAAGGGCCTTTTGTCCCTAGCTCACTAGTCATGCTCAACCCCATAGAAAAGGGCAGCTCCTTGGGCCTCTGACCCCAGTGGAGGGCAGAACAGCGTGGGTCCCAGCCCTCGGCCTTTGAGCTACTGTTTGTCATGCTGTTTGTGTCCCCCACGAAGACCCATATGCATGCCCCGACATAGAAACAAGAAGTAGCTGGAGCATCTGGGCTAGGGGAGGGAACTGGCTAGGGGAGTGGGGTAAGCCTGGGCCCTGGACCCCACCCCAGGACATGGAACAGGTGGTAGGGTATGGGGCACAGGACAGCCAAACACCGCTGGGCCCAACAGCCTCTTCCTGTTGCCCCCCTACCTTCCTCTGCACTGGACCCCCCTTTGTTGCCAAGGCTGAGCAGACAGGGCCCAGGTCTACCCTGGAGACCTGGGTCATGGCTCCCCTTCAGGGCCTGAGTTGACTCCTGCCCAGCCCCTCTGCAGCAAGGATGGCAGGATGAACAGCCCAGCCATGGCCTCTGAATCCACCTGTCACTGGCCACTGCACTGCACGCTCCAGGCACAGGCAAACCCATACTACCAAGAGCCTAGGCTGCTTTCCCTGTGATGGAGGGAGCTGTGAGGCCAAAGGCTGCAGGGACTTTGGGACAGGAGCTAGGAGGAAGGAGGAAGGGCAGGGCTGGATTCTGGGCCTTCAGGCCACAGGCGGTGAGTGAGATTGGAGGAAGAAGGCCGGGCGGAGGTGTATGGTATTTCACCCCCAGCCTCAGGCTTTGAGGAAGGTACACACATAAGCAGCACAAAGCCAGGCGTGGTGGCATAGGCCTGAAATCCAGTATTCTAGGAGGCTAAGGCAGAATGATCCCAAGTCTGAGCAGAGCATGGTCAATTAGGCATTTATGAATACCCTGTCTCAGAATAAAAAATACAAACAGAGTTGGGGATGTAGCTCACTGGAAAGGCCCTGAGTTCAGTTTTCAGCACTGAGGCAAAAAAAGTCATCAGAGATAGGACAGGGGTTTGCAGTGTAAGCGACAAGGCACGGAACGGTGCCATCCACCTAGCAATAGTGCCGCTTCCCCAGGGGGCCGGCCTGTCTCTCAGAAGGGTCCAGACAGGCTCAGGCAGGAGCCTTGGGCAGGCCCTGACACCCAGGGCCTGATAGGCAGAATAGAGAGGAGAGCCCCGTGTCAGCACCAGGAGGAAGAAATGGGCTGGGAGCGGGGAGGGGGCTGGAGTGCTCCGGCCAGCCCAGACGCGCCTGGCCCAGGCCTGCCCCTAGCCCCCCCAGCCCTCCAGGGGTACAGCAGGGCCTGATAAGCCTCACACTGGGGCTGCAGGAGCAGAGTGTGGGAAGCAGGCACCTCTCCCCCGGGGTGGGCTGTGCAAGGTGCACCCACACCAGCTTGAATAATAAATACACAGACTTGGGCGGAGGTGGGGACCTCCTCTTGCTCAGCCTCTCCACCTGTGGGGGACACCAGCCCTGCCCAAGGCAGGTTGCTAGGTGGAAGGGTGTCCTGTGACATCAACAAAGGCCCCTACAGTGTTTCTTTTGTTGGTGCTTCTGGGATTCAAATGTCGGCCTGTGTCTGTGCTCCGCCACTCAGCTGCAGCTTCCAACCTCACAGCGGTTCTGACGTCAGAAGTGATACGTGACATCTCAGCGTGATGCGAGGGAACTACTCTAACTCCCAACCTGCTAGATGTCTGATACAGAGTGTGTGTTTCCCAAAAAAGCATGACTTCTAAGCAACAGTGGAGGTTAGGAGTAGGAAATATTTATTGAGAGGGCAAGAGAAAGCTGAGAGGCAGGAAGGGCCTCAAGTGGGTTGCCAAGGAGCCCACTGCTCAGGGGAAGCTTTATTAGGGACAGTCACATGGGTACAACATGGGTCACAAGGTTCCAGGTACAACCGCTTAAGTAACTTTGGTCCAATGGGGAAAAAAGTCATGCTGCAAGTGCACATGGAACGAACAAAGAACTCTTCAGGAAGGGATGAGTCAGAGGGTCTTGGTCACCCATCAAAGTGACCAATGTCTAGCTAGACTTCATTGGACCGGGTGCTACTATTTATCTCAGGCCTGGTCATTCTGTCTTTATCTTGTGGCTTGGCCTTCAACACATGAGCACAGTTGTAGTAAGTCTGCATCTTTCCCTGACTCTCTTGAGGACCCCTCTCTCCCTGACTGCCTGTTTAGCTCTATGGTTTAATTTTTTTTTTTAAATTTATGTATTTGGTACAGGGTCCATCTATGCAGCTCAGACTCGTAGTGGTCCTTCTGTTTCAGCCTCCTCAGCGCTGGGATTACAGGCATGCACCACCAAGCCCGATTTTTGTGGCCAGACTGGGGTGGGGCCAGTGCAGCATGCAGTACCAGGGATTGCACCTGGGTCCTTGCACTTGCCAGGCAGGCACTTACGCCACTGGGCTATCTCACTGGCCCAGGTTTCTTAAATTTTTGATGCCGGCTCTCACTATGTTGTCCAGGCGATGCTCAATCTTGCAATATAGCCCAGATGACTTTAAACTCTTAACCCTCCTGCCTCAGTCTGCTAAGTATGGTTAGGATTGCAGGCATGTGCCACCAGACAGGGCTCTTGCAGTGTCCCACTGAAAGCAGGTCTGTACACTGGGGCTGAGACAAGTCACCCCACTTGCCTCCACAGGAGGTCCCCAGGGCCACCTAGACGCTGTCTGGGGTCCTAACAGACCTAGGAAGCTGGGAAACACCTTTTCTAAAAAAGCTGCCTCAGGCAGCCAGCTGCCAGGGCAGAAAGCCCTGCTTGGCCTGCAGCCTGGAGCTCCCACTCATCTCCCCACCCCCACCAAGTCCAGCTGTTGTTTTGACGACTGTGGGGTCAGGCAGATTCTCAGCCAAATGCTTCCCAGGGGAACTCTCATCTTGAACCCCATTGGCAGCCAGAGCCTGCCCAGCTTGGAGCAGGACGGGAAGGAAGGTGGCCTGAGCCCAGGGGAAGCCCTCCTAGGTGGCTCGGCGACCGACCGGCTCCGTCTGCTCAGGAAAAGCATCAAAGCTGGACACAGATGAAGGTTGGAAAACGCCCAGACCACTGCTGGACCTCACCCAGCTACACAGTGGTCTCTGCTTGAGGCCACAGAACGAGCATGACCCTGGTCACAGGCAGAGCCCTGGCCCCTGAAGTCACAGGCTAAGGCCTACGACAATATGCTGTGTGGTGTCATTTAAAAGGCCTTTTAGGGCCTGGGGAGATAGCTCAGTAGAATAAGTGCTTGCCTGGCAAACGCAGGGTCCTGAGTCCAATCCCCAGTACCACAAAAATAATAATAATAATAATAATAATAATAATAATAAAATAAAATAAAATAAATAAAAGGCCTTTTAGCCACAGCTAGTCTTCGGGGTGAATTACACTGATTACACATTTTGAACACGCTGCTGGGCTTACATGAAAGTATCTCAAAGCCCTACTGTACAGCAAATATTGCAAGAAATGAATTCCAGACATGGTGGCATATACCTGCAAGCCCAGCTACTTAGATCAAGTTCGGTGCCAACTTAAGTAGATGAGGCCTTAGAACCCCTGCCCCACGCTCCCCAAGTAATTAACAAATATTCAAAGAAACACTACAGGGCCAACAAGAGCTCAGTGGACTAAGGCCCTGTACCAAATACATTTTTAAAAAAAGCTATACTATCTTACGATACATACCATGTTTAAGACAGCCAGCTTGAACTACATAGCAAGACCCTAACTAAAAAAAAAAAAACAAAAAAAACAAAAACCCAGGGCTATAGCAGAGTGTGGCATAAGCGCCTGCCGCCCAAGTATCAAGTCCCAAGTTTTAGTCCCAGTACTACACACACAAAAAAGAAAAGAAAACAAAAACAAAGCTGATATCAAACAAGTTGAGTAGGCACAGAGATCATTAAAATTTATCAGATAAATCTGAAAAGGACCAAATACAATGTTTATTTTGCTTTGGGGGGGGTGGGTATCACCACACAGCTCAGACTCAACGATCCTCCTGTTTTCAGCTTCCCTAGTACTGGGGTTACAGGCATGTGCCACCACACCCGGACTCCATCGCCAGCTCAGTGCGCCCAGAGATGGGCCGGCACAGCATGTAGTGCCAGGGATCGAACCCCGACCCTGCGCTTACCTAAGCAAGCATTTAGTCTGCTATCTTGCCAGCCCTTATCTTTTTGTTGTTTTTTGTTTTTAGAGACAGGGTCTCACTATGTAGTTCACGCTGGCCTTGAGCTCACTTTATAGCCCAGGCTGGTCTCAAAGTCACAAGGGTCCTACTGCCTCACCCTCCCGAATGCTGTGATTATAGGCATGTGCCACAATGCCCAGTTTACAACTTTTATAAACATAATAATACTTAGTACAGGGTCAACAGGGTCTCACTACATAGATTGGACCCATAGGGATCTTCCTGTTTTCAGCCTCCCAAGCACTGGGATTATAGGCGTGGGCCACCACTCCCAGTCTTTTTTTTGTTTGTTTTTGTGGAATCGGGGATTGAACTCATCCCAGTCTTATTTGCTGTCTCAGTGTGCCCTGGGGGCAGGGCTGGTATGGCACACCAGGGATCAAAACCCATCCACCTGCCTTAAGCAGGCACTTTAGTCTGCTGAGCTATCTGGCCTGGCCAGATAATAAAATAATTTAAAACTTAAATGGCAGACTAGATATAAGGAACAAATTCTAGTGGACAGGAAGAGGAATGAAGGAATTGCCTAGAATACTGCCTGGAATGGAAGAACATACAAAAAAGGGGGAATGGGGCTGGGAGATGGCTCAGTAGAATAAGCGCTTCCCTGGCAATCGGAAGGACCTGAGTTCAATCCCTGGTTCCGCAAAAAAAAAAAAAAAAAAAAAAGGGCGGGGGGAGAACTGACAAGGGAGAGAGGAGGAAATGGTGAAAGAATGTAGAGAATGAATGGGAGGCAAAACTGAAGAGACTGAGGACTGAGAATGTTCTGTAACTGCTGAAAGACATGAATCTTCAGAACCAGAAAACAAACCGTGCACACCTCGGCGAACATGCCCATGAGGGGTGCAGTGGCTAACACTACAGGCAGATGGAAGAGAAGGACAGATCCAAGGCCAGCCTGGGCAATTTTTTTTGGTGGAACCGGGGATTGAATTCAGGCCCTTGCACTTGCCAAGCAAGCGCTTATTCTGAGCCATCTCCCCAGCCCCAGCCTGGGCAATTTAGCAAAACCCTGACTGGAAAGAAAGACAAAGACCTGGGAGCTGGAAGCCATGGTGCTGGCCTGTAATCCCACCTAGCACTCTGGGAGGCTGAGGCGGGAGTCATGATTGCAAATTAGGCAATCTAGAGACTTAGATAAAACCCTGTCTCAAAATAAAATAGTAATAAGAATAATATGACGGGGGAGATGGCTTAGTAGAATAAGCACTTGCCTGGCAAGTGCAAAGGCCTGAGTTCAATCCCTGGTTCCGAGAAAAAAAAGAAAAAGAATAACATGATGGCACATGTCTGCAATCCCAGCACTCTGGAGGTTGAGACAGGAGGATCTCTGCGAGATCAAGACCAGCCTGGGGGCTACTAAAGTAAGCACAGGGTCAGCCCAAACTATGTAGTGAGACCCTGTCCAAAAATAAAGGGCGGGGAGATAGCTCAGTAGAATAAGTGCTTGCCTGGTAAGCGCACCTGAGTTCAATCCCTGGTTCTGCAAAAATAAAAGTAAAATGAAATAAGGAATAAGGGCTACTGAGGGAGTTCTCAGTGTGAAGATTGTGGTCAATCCCCAGTATCAAAAAAAGGGGGGGAATAACCCAATGGCAAATCGTTTCCTACACATGTGAGGCCCTGAGTTCAATTCTCAGTGTCAGGGAAAACATTCACACCTACAAATGAGCTAGTAAAACCGCAAAGCCCCAACGACAAAGAGAGATCTTAAAATTACCCAAGAAAGCAGACTAAGCTCTCACTTCAGCTCCCAGGCCTGGAGCCCAGCCACACTGAGTCCTGACCCAGGCTTGGGCGGGCCCTGGCCCGGTCACAGGCCCCAAAACCGGGATGGCCTTGGTGACCCAATGTCCCCCAAGCAGACCTGGCCACCCGGAGAACAGGGTGGGGGCCGGGCACGGGGAGCGGGCTTGATGGGGAACTTGAGCGCAAGGAGATGGTGACCCGGGGACACCGAAGCCCAGAGCCACCTGGTGGTCACTCCGGCACTGGCCACACCTCAGGGCCAACAGGCCCTGCTCCTCTGTCAGGGTCGCGGGGGTCCCGGGAGCCTCCCAGACGTCACACGCAGGCGCAGAGATGCTCTTCCCCGTCCGGGTGGGGTTCGGGGGTCCGCGCAGAGGGCGGCAGCAGTGGGCTGAGGCGCCGCATCACGTGGGCGCGGGCGGCTGAGGCGAGCACGAGCAGCGGTGGCAGCAAGAGAAAGCCGAACACAATCAGCGCCGCAGAGCCAGCATCCGAGAGCAGCGCGCGACACCGGGGTCCCGGAGCCGGGTGGACCTGCAGGAGCGAGGCGTCGGGGCGGGGCCGGGGGCGGGGCCTGTGAGGGCGGGGCCTGTGAGGGCGGGGCCTAGCCGGGCCTGTAGGAGGTGGGGTTGCAGCCCTAGGCGGGGCGCGGAGGGACGAGGGCGACGCGACAAGGGGCGGGGCCTGGTGGTGGGCAGCACTCTGGGCGGGGCTGACACGCTGTGAGGGCGGAGCCTTAGCCCAGGCCGGTAGGACTGGGGTGGGAAGCTGGGCGGGGCCTGCAGGGCGTGGTCGCTCGTAGGGGGCGGGGCGTGAGGGAGGTGGGGCTGTGCACGTGCAGGGGAGCGCGGGGGTGGGGCCCAACAGAGAGTGGTGGGTGTTGGACACAGGTAGCAAGGCCTCCTCAGAGGTCCCATAACAAAGAATCATTTCAACTTTTCCCTCTTTTCTTTTTTTTCTTTTTTGCGGTACCAGGGATTGAACTCAGGACCTTGCGCTTGCCAGGCAAGCACTTACGCCACTGGGCTATATTCCCAACCTCACTCTCATTTCAACTTTTCCCTACTCCCATTTCGTCCTGCCACTAACCCTCCATTCTGTGCTCCTGCTGTCATGAGCTTGTGCCGCCTTCTCCCAGACCCCGCCCCGTGCCTCTGAGAGGGCCCGCAGGGTCCATCTGTGTGCGCCTTCCCTGCTCGGACCATGCCTTGGCCCGCCGCAGAGCTGGGGAAGCTGGCCAGGGCAGGAGCGCTTTGGGAGGCTGTGTGTGTGGTAAGGATCCCTGCAATTTGGCAATAATTTCATCTCCTCTGGGAACCCCCTCCCCGTCCCCCCTCCCTGCTGTCAGCCCTGGTGGCCCCTGGTACAGGGATGGGAGGCCTCAAGGAGGGGAGGGCGCTCTCCCATGGGTAACAAACAAAAGGCTTTCTTTGGCCTCAGACAGGAGGGTGCTCGGGAGAGGCAGGGAGGGGTGCATGCATCTGTGGGTACAAGGGCACAGCGGTGGAAGGGGGCAGATCCCCCTCAGTCCAGGGGCGCTGAATCTCTGCGGGACCCGAAAACCTCAGGGACCCCGCGGGGGGGGGCTGAGCTCACCCTCGAATGGCACACGAATCCCAGGTAGACCACCGTCGCCGCAGGCAGCAGCACCAACAGAAAGACTGTCCCGGGCAGCAGCAGGTGGAGCAGAAGCCAGGTCAGAGCCCGGCTCAGCAGCAGCAGGGTCCGCAGGCCCCGGGTGGCCAGGCCTGGCCACTGTGCGCGTGTCAGGGCCGAGGTCTGCTGGTCAGGAGGCCTTCGCGGCAGCATGGGCACTGTGTCCGAGGTGCCCCCGCCCTCATCCTCCGTTTCCCTTTCCTGCTCACTCGCGTCTTGACGGGGGTCTGCAGAGCTCATGGCGGCAGTCAGATGACAGGACAGCACCTCCCGTCAGCTTAGAGACCCTTTAATTCGCCCAGGCTTGATCCCCATCCAAATGCCAGGAGCAGAGAGCAGATGCTGGCCCAAGTAGGCCCGGTCCTGGTGGTCAGTCTCCAGGGCCACTTCCTGCCTCCGTTTCCCTGATGCTAGGCTAAGCCTTTCTGTGCCAGGCACAGACCGCAGCTCCTGTGCGCTCTGGTTGGGCCTAGCACAGATGTGTCCTGCCCTGACTGGACACTGCGGCCCTCCTCCCTCTCCCCGCAGCCCTCTCCCCTTCCATCCCCCCACACAATGACTTCATTTCATAATCTGTGCTCTGACAACTGCCCCACCACCAACTGCCCCCTAGTGGCTGGCAACCCACCTCAGTTTCCCGCTGGCCCCTCTGCAGTCTCCCTAGTAGTGTAGGAAGACTCCAGGTACCCACCCTGGGAGGGTTGAGGGGATGGAATGGGGTGTGCAGGAAGGGCCCAGCCTGGAGCTGGCATTCAGTAGGTACTTAATAGGCAGCAGCTCTGGTGACAGACATGCTTTGTGATGTAACCCAGTGCAGATGGTGGGAGTATATTCCTTTGCGGCGAGAGGACAAGGAAACTCCCCTCAGTTTTCCCCAGCACTGCTGCTCTGCAGGACATGCGGCATTTCAGCTGTCTAAATGACCACCTGAGTGAGCAGGTGTCTGTGAGCTGGCCAGCTTCCCTAAGACGCCTGCTCTGCAACTGGCTTTGTCACTTCTAATTTCTTTCTGATTTTATTTATTTATTTATTTA